GCTTCCCTAACATCTAGGGAATGTTCCCTAACCGTTCCCTTCCCTAACCGTCATCTCTCTCCTAGTGCTTATTTAGACAAGAACTTCCCATGAAATATTTAAGCCTGTTAAAACAGCAATGCAGTAACTCAGCAAGTCCCTGCAAGTGTTCTCTTCCCAGCCTGCTGCAGCTGACCTGGTGCAGTTGGGATTCAGTTCCTAGCAGGAGCTGTTCGGGTGAGTTTTCTGGCACAGGTAGCTAGAGCTTAGAGCTCCTGTTTCCAGAGATGCTTTGCTGAGACCTTCCACAGCAGCTGGAAGTTCCTACTGTGGCTGAGTGCTCCATTGGTTCAGAAGAACATAAAACTAGGAAATAAATGTTTCTTCACAAAACTGTGGTGTGTTGCCCCTATTCAGAAATAATGCAGCTGGAGTACAGGTCTCGGTTATTCCAGTTTACAGGTGAGGTTGCTGAGACACTGAGAGCTAAGAGCCTGACTTTGAGAAATCAGAATTTCTTTTGAAGTCAGTGGGAGACATGGAGCATGGCAGCTCTCAAAATCAACACTTAAGAACAACACTAAAAGTGCTACATGTCTGAGGCAGAGCTTGGGAGAAAATTTGATGGCGTTCTCTCTTGGAATAGACGAGCATGCAGTAGCTAAGCTTGTCTTATGTTATTGCTTCCTGTTTCTTTTTAATTTTCAGTGAAACTCTGTGGTTAAGTCAAATTCTTGTATGTAGTTAATGAGCCTCACTGGGTTATTTATATTGGGTTGTTTTATTTCCCTTTGGCATTCTTGTTGCTGAAATCATTCTAAGGAAATCTAATGTTATAATAAGCTTTTTAAAGGCAGAATCTAGCATGAAGCCTACAAACACTTAGATTGTGGATAGTAAAGTAAAATTGTAATTAGAATGTCTTGTTTGCTCTCAAGCAGAGAAAAGTGACAGACAAAGAAGTAGGCAGGATCTAGGACTGAAGAGGTACATTTTATTATCCATATTTTGGCTTGACCCGGGTATCTGCAGGCTGTTTGAAGTTGCAGTAATTTAAAGGTCTGTGTCCCTGCAGTGATGCCCTTGTTTTCTAATTCCACTTCTTAAGAGCGTGTTGGATTAGCTTGAATAACGAATGTGTCTAATTGAGGGAGCTTGGCATTGGATGTTAATGTAAAATGAGATTGGAAAAGCAAGGGTGATGTAACCTTGTGAGGACATAATCTTTTTTTCTTTTCAAGTATATGTCATGAAAGACACTGTTCTTGACATGGTTCTTAAAATCCCTTTCTTTGTGACTACGTGGAGGCTGGTGTTGGATTTGATTCTTAGATCCTTGCAAATGCTCCGTGGCAGAGTAGGACTGACAGCTGTGCTCGAGTCTGGCCTCTGCAGCCGCGCACAGAGGGTGGCCTTTGGTCCCCCTGCTTCCCACTTCTGCAGCATCTGTACCCAGCAGCTGCTGGTCACACCTTGCTGCATCTCCTTGCTGCAAAAGCAGGGACAGCAGAGCTTATGAGGGGACAAGCTTTGGAGGACAGTGCTCTTTACAGCAGAATCACTCTGGTTTAGACATGAGCATCAAAGCAGGTGGTTTAAATAGGTGGTTATAAAGAGAGGGGGTGATGTGAGGTCTCAGATGCCCATTGACAGGGATGCTTGCATCAGCCTAGGGGCTATTACACACAAGAAGACATGTCTTTTCTGGAGTCCAAGAGTCTGAATCAAAAAGATACAGATTTAGTTTGAAAAGAAGATAAATGCTCCAATTTTTCCATGCTTAAATGTTGAACATCTTAGTGAGTCCCTGTGTGCCAGACACAGAGCCATGAAAAGCTTTGTACTGTGAGGTGGACGCTGTGTCCTTAGGGGCTGTTATGCCCTAGGCATTGGTGCCCTGCCAGGTGCAGTGCTGCACTATCAGCTGCAAAAAATAAAGGCTTCATCCTTGTGGTTTTGTTTGTTTATTTATTGCAAGTGATGAGTAGTGATGAATTTGAGATCTTGTATGACAGGAAGAGGTAGCAGAGAGCCTCTCTTCTATTTCATAGCAGCTATTGTCTTGTTCTGTGCTAAACCAGGAGTGTATGGCAACTCATGCAAAAAGCTGTTTATTGAGTACGGAAAGCCAAGGCTTGAGGGCTGCTTTGAAGGAAAAAGAGCGAGTCCTTTGCCACAAGAGGGAGCACATGAGAAAGTCTAGGAAAAAAAATGTGTGTGTTGTGATAGTTGTATCTGTGTCTTCAGTTCAGACCCAAAAAAAGGAGATGGGAAGATATTTGGATGGAAACCCCTGCTGTCGTTATGGGAGTGCTCATTGGGAAGCAAGGATGCTAGTGATGACAAAAGCCCAGCTAAACTTCTGTACCCGCATGCTGCCTAGCGGCACTTTTGTTATTGTGGTTTTTGTTAGGATTTTGTGAATCGAGCTCATGGACTAATTTATCCAGTGAGTCGGTCAATCCTGGATTGGGGCTTGGGGCTCAGGGAAGAAATAACTTGAGGAATAGTTAAAATTCAGTGTTGCTTGTATCTGACTGGCACTCTATTACTAAACCCATTTAACGAAATGGATATTGATTTGGCTAGTTCAATATCCAACGGAGTCATGCTGATACACTTTTAATGTACTCAGACTTGAGTTATGCTGAAGGGCTGCATCTATATAACTGCATTGGGTTTTATGTCAGTTTAGTTAAATCTGTATAAAAGTGAGTATTGATAAGCCGTAAGTGCTTCATAATGGGTTTTTGCTTCATAAGCTCATTCAGCTAAGCTTCGTAAGGCCCAGCTTAGTTGGGCCTTTACCTCGTATTCCCCTTTTCACCTGATCTTTAGTGCTGCATGCTTTATGGGCTCATTTTTGTTTTGTAAAAATCTGCCCAAGAGTCCCGAGGTGAGCAGGGAATGGGGAGCGGGCGGCCGGGGCAGCGCGTACGCGGTAGGGCTGTGTGAGGTGGCCCCGGGATGGCGCGTGGCACAGGGAGGCCTTGGGGCTCCCGGCCCTGCACGCGGCTGCCCTCCTCTGCCTCCTCCCTGCTCCCTGACCACCAGCTCCTCAGGGCATGGGGCATCTGTTGCAGGGTCCAAACCAGCCAGGCACGTCCTCACGAGCTGCCATTCCCTCCTTGGACTACTTCTAGCTGTCGTTTGTCTCGCTTGCTCCTTCTCTCTCGCAGAGCACAAACTCTTGGGCAGCGGGGTGGCCAGCTGCGTGTTTAGGCAGCACCCCGCACGCTGAGGCCTGGGCTTGGTGAGAAACTTCGGTTTCTGTTGTGGCTGAATTTTCACTACAGCTCTCTGCTTCAGAGAGATTCAGCCCAATGGGGCTTTTGCTGCGTATCAGCATTGGCTCTTCTAGTGGCTCTGTCATGGGCTGTTCCTCAGCACTGGGCACTGACTTTTTAAACTGACTTAAATGAGACAGGCCAAGTTTGAGGCATCATCCAGGGGGCAAATTGCACAGTAGCAGTGGCATGCAAATAACAAGTGAAATTCAGTCATTTCCTAAAAACAGATGGAAAAATTATACTTTCTTTGGCCAAGTAAAATCCTCCTAGCTTAGGCAAACGTATTAATTTAATGGCATTATATCCTGTATTTACAGCTTTTTAAGACTGTCAGGACAGCCTGAGGTTTCAAAAGATTAATCCATGGATGCCAAGCATACACCACGCAGGCCAGAACATTTCCCTACCATCCTATTTGTTGGTGGTTCTTCAGATGTGGGCAGGAAGCGGGTCGAGGACGAGATGAGTTGTTCTGCTGGTCTTGTCCCTGCTGTGCTCTTACCCAGAGGCTCCGCAGCTCCTTCCCCGTACGTGAACAAAGTCAGCCTTTCAGGGGAATAAAACGCTAACAGCTCTGTAAAAAGGGCACATTTAAAGATGTGTTGGAACGTGCAGAGAACACCTACATTTGAGCTTACGGGTGCACCTACTCTCATAAGGAGAGATGCCAGCTGCCCTTCCATGGGACGTGCTTGTCATGTGGTGAACAGGTTTCCAGTCGCGTGATGAGTGCAGTGGGAGACAGTGCTCAAGCGCCTCTCAAGGAGGAGATTTGTCCCATCCTAGGTGAATGGGCGAGTACTATTGAGTTACTTGATTCATATTATTGTCTTAAATCAGGCAAAAGCCTTGTGAGTTGTGTGTAGACCACAAACCTCAGGACGTTCCCTTGTTGAACAACAGGGCAGACAGGAGAGCACCCGGCCTCCTTTTTGCCTGCCTTGGCAGTTCAAGAACTCAACATGTGCTCAGCTATCCACTGCCACGAGCTGCACCTCATGGTGGAGTTAGTTGTGGGAGTTGAGGAGATGTGGATAAGAAAAACGGTGTCATGATCTCGAAGCAGCTGAGCTGCAGCCTGCAACTGATTACTCATCTATTTGAATTATTGTTCCCTACTCCAAATAAACTTGCTACTTTTTTTTTCACTTGGAAACAGCTGCCTATTTTCATGTTAGCTTATGAGAAAATCCAGAATCTGCTCAATTAAAATCATCCTGCAACGGTTCAGCTAGCTGCCCCCATGCGAAGGGCCGCCCTGCAGCCAAGGCGGTAGCAAGGGACAGTGCCAGAGGCTCCGAGGAGCCCCAGCTGTGAGCAAAGGGGAATGAGCAGAGCCCTGGGACCCGAGCGCTGCCTCCTCCTCCTCCTCACTGCTGCTCCTTCACAGCTGTGGGAATGCCTAAAAATTGCAGGCAGCCAGTGAGGAGGGGGGAAAAAGATCCCTGCGACTTTCAAACCTTTGGCTGAAGGCCAAGATACGTTGCTGTGGGCAGAGATTCAGCATCACAACTGCAGCCATGAGAGAGATTCAAAAAATGACTGAGGTTTATTTTTAAAGTGTGTTTAATTCTGAGTTTCTTTCTCAGAATACTAAGTCATCCTTGGCGTGCCAAGGCCTAGCCTGCCCTTTTTCACTCTGCTGGCCCTGGCCTGGCCTGTCTCATTCATTCCCTCAGCTGTTATTAATAGCAATCACTTAGTTGTTTGTTTTCATTCTCTTTCTTTCAGTTATTCCTACTCTGCTCTCAGTGCCTGAGGAACATGAGACGGCTTGAGATTGAGGTGAGGAAGCTGGGGTGGATAGAGGGGTCAGGTGCTCTCTCCCAGAGATATTCCCCAGCCAGGTTACCCTTCTGCTATTGCCCCCACATCATGGGGGAGCTTTTAGGGACTTGCTAGTGGTAGCATTTTCAGAGAAAGTTAATGACCGAGTTGGCTCAAGGTGGCCTTCCTTAAGCCTCATTTTGAAGTGCTCTGCCCACATACCTGCTGCTGTTTGCAGTGCAGGTAGCACTGCTGGCATGGGAGCTGTGAGCAGGGGTATCCATGACATGCAAAATGTCATTTGTCAGGATTTACTGCTGCGCACCCAAAGGGTGCCCATTTTAGCTCAACGTCAACAAGAGCATTAACATTAGAGTGGAATGCAAGCATTTGGGGCCAATTAAGAAAAATAAAATAAAAATTAAGGGAAGGAATTAGACCAGAATTACTCATTGAACTGATGCAATGAATTGCTTCCATTAAAAGAATGAAAGAGACACTTTGAACTTCTTTTTAAAAATCTTACTTTCTGCGTGCTTTTGGTGGTAGCAGAATTAACACAGATAATATTTTACCTGGAAAGGACATATTTCAGATGGATGGGGAAGTTTTATCTTGTTGATCCAGAATGAGATATGGGATTAGAGAAGACTGGATGGAGAGGGAGGAAAAAAAAAATCTTTTAGTGTCCTGAATCTGTTTGTGACCCTGCCTAATGGCAGCTCTTTAAAACTGCTCCGGTGTCTGTACACAGATGGACAGCAGCTCTGCATGTGGTTGCCTGCCTTACTGCGAAAGGCTGTTACCTTTACACTGAGATTAGTGCTGGGCAAGCTCTATAAATAACAGTAAAAGAGTAGCTTGGGAAGGATGGAGGGCCAGAGCCCCAGGATGTGGGTCTCTGCATTACGTGCTCTGTGCTCGTGCCTCCAGCCGAGAGGTGTTTAACAACCTGCACTGCCAGATCCTGAATTAGGCTGTGCAGCTGAGCAGAGGAAGCCCTGCTCCTTTCTGGCTCTCCCTGGTTCCTGTGTTGGGATATTGGTGCCGTGAGAGGCGCTGCCTGCCAGTTCAGCATTGCCACACCTATGGGAATGGAAAACTGCCGGCGTTGCCAGCTACCCTGGAAGAAGCTGAGCACCAGAGAGACATTAGGAGGAAAGAATGTGCTTGCATCTCAACAAATATTAGCACTCATTCATCTGTATTAGCACTCGTTCATCTGTATTTTAAATTGGTTCTTAGAAAATGCAGACATCTCCTGCTATTTGTAACTTAATGAGGAGTTCAGTTTCACTGCTCCCTGGGCAGAAATGTTAACTGTCTCATTAACCTCTGTGACGCTGATGGCCTTTGGGCATGAAAAGAGAGAGAGCCGTTCTCCATCCAGACAGTCGGCAGGGTGCATTTATCACCGTGCTGGTACTTATCCGTAAACAAATAATTCATGTCTCAGGGAAGAGCTGCTCTTCCACAGCTCTGTGGAGTACAGCCGTTGACACAACACTCTTATATATTTATATAGAGTAAAAAATAACTGGATTTTATGTTTTTATGGTTTATATGATAAACATGTAAGAGGAATGAAAGGAACTGATTGTAAGGAGGTCTTATTGAGATTAGACATAATGAGAGCTAAATAAGTCTTGGGGGTAAACGTTACAAAAGACAGTTTGAGCTATAGAGTTGAGCAGGTGGAGAATCATCCAGTGAATCCCTAGACAGCAGTGGTGAGGTTTTGTCTTACACTGAGTGTCTGTTCCCTGTCTTAGAAAGATATTGTGAAGGTAGAATCCTCTTGAGTATTAAGGCCCAAGGTAGAAGGAATAAGATTGTGAGGATATGACATCAGGGTAGATACAATATTAGCTCATCAGTTAGAAGGTGAATCAGCAAAGGCTCTTTAGCTGTGACCCAAGGGAGAATCTTTCTTTTTCCTAGGAAATCAGTTGTGATTATTGTGCCCTATTGATTTTTTAATATTATGAGAATTAAAACTTTGAGGTTCTTTTTTTCTTTATTCTATTTTTCCTAAATGGTGGTGGTGTATGTATGTTGCAATGAAATATTTAATCAAGTTGATGAGCAAGTATGCGTGCCTTGCTTTTGACATCACTATGATGAGCTTGAGTGGAGGGGCTGCATACTTAGTGGTGATATGTTGAATTTGGGCAAGAGGTTGAGGTTGGCAGCCGCGGTGTCCCTGTCCTGTCCGCAGCATCCCGGGCAGACCTTTCTTTGGGGCTCTAGCTCCAACCCTCACCAACGCTCCCAGCAGTGTGGGGAGATGGAACCTTGGATCTCCCATGCTGGGCAGAATCCTAGCAGTTTGGGTGAAATTAGACTTACATACATTCTTTATTAAAATCAGTTGGTTCAGACAAAAGGGACGGGGAAAGAGCCGTGACCACAAGGCTGGAAAGATGTTCAGCTGGATGTATAACATGCACCTTCAGCAAGTTGTAGGGGCACAGAGAGATGTAATTTATTGGAATGTGAGGTTGTTGATGTGAGGTCTTCTGTTTTCCAGCCTAAACAGTGATCTCTGCTGCTTTTATCACATGCAAATTCCTTCCTAATTAGCCATTCTCTGTCATCTCTCATAGTTGCCAGGAATCATTTTTCCATAACGTATACCTTGTTTTCACCTAATAAGTTGTTTTTAATAAGCTGGATCTCCAGTGGCCCTTTCCATCTTTCAGACTTATCTAGGATCTTTGATCTACTTCTGTCACTGAGTTTCCATGCACTCTTGCTATCTTCACGTGCTCTTGCATTTTTCTGCTCACAGGTCATTAGTGAGATGATACCTGAATTCTAAAGAAAACATTCCAAGATCTGCTCTCTAGGAGGAGAGGAACACTGGGTGACTCTAAATGGTAATGTCTAGATTTTGTTTGCATTAGGGTATAACACCTGAATCACAGCTAAGACCAGAGTTCATTTGTTTTTGGTGTAGCCTTTGTATTATAAAGAGAGGCTGAACCTCTACTGAAGAGTTGGCACGGTCAGTCTGCTTCAAGAATACAATGATTTTAGAATTCCAAATGGCAAAGATGCAGTCCTGTGATACAGAGCTGTTATAAATTGGTTTTGAGACTTCACATTTATTAGAGCAAGAAGAACAGAAAGACAAACCAACCACCCAGTCTCCTAACGATTTTTACAAGCAAGCTTTATGTGGCTTCAGGCTGCCTAAGCAATTCCGGTTTTACGTGGGATTAGGTCTGCCCTTTCGTGCAAGCCGTCCAGCATGGGCTCTGGCGAATCCGACAGCAACGCGGTGCTGCCCGTGTCCCTCCCAGCTCAGCCACGTCCTCGCAGGGGCTTCATAGCTTGTAACTCTGGTGTTAATTACTCTGCAACCTCTGCTGCGTCGGCCAAGACAGAAATAAGTTGTCATCTTCTCCGTTCTGCACGCGGGAAGCTCCAGCAAAGGGAACCACACTGTTCCAGTTGGGTGGTTTATGTGCAGAGCTGTTGTGCATCACTTCTCAAGCTTAGCGTGTTGTGTGCTCTCCTGATGCTGTTTTGAAGGGCCCTTCTGATAGGTCTGAGTCCCTCAGGCAGGGCTAATGTTTAAGGCCATTTGAGTTATTGTAGAAAGGAATTTGGGAGCCATGGGGTGTGATGCTCAACTAAACTCCAGGTGTGTTACCCCTGCTGTATTTCTTTCTTTGGCTTATTTTATAATTGTAGCTTTTCCATCCCTTTTGTGGGGCATGGTTGGAGGGATGGCCTGGAGTTCCCAGCCTAGGAATCCTACACCAGCTGTAGGAGTCAGTCTAGGGAAAAGGGCAGTAGAAGAAAACAGTGAGAAAAAAAAAAAATAGTGTTTTTAGCCCTAATAGGGGAGAGCAGGGCAGGAGAGCTGGTTCAGATAGGGTGCGGGTTGAGAGCGCCCTGGTCCCTGCTCACACAGGCATCTCTTGGTGACCTGTCACAGATGGGATCCCCTTGGCAGCTCCGGGACTGCTCGGCTCCCTCCTGCCGGAGCAGAGGGATTTGGGCTGCGCCCAGGGCCGGCCGGGGCGGCGGGTCCGTCCCGGGCCACGCGGCCTGTGCTCCCCGGGCTGAGCTGGCCGGGCAGTGTGGCACAGGCGTCCGCCACGAAGAATCCCATTCAGAGCAGCTATGCTTTGGCAAGGGTCCAGGCAGCTGAAAGGAGCCTTACAATGGATAATGCTGGGCAGCCATAGGAGAAAGCAATGTTCCCAGCCCCGTGAGCACAAACTGCTGCATTTAAGCGACACGGTTGCATAAGGGAAATTGAGGCGATGTCAGTGCTGCGGACGCAGCTTGGGGAATGGAGGCTGAACGGTGGCTGCTGGGGTTGATGGAGCACAGGCTGTGAGGAGCCAGTATAGCTGGTGCATCGCGGTACGTCTGTTCTGCAGCATCGGCTGCTTCACGGTGCAGCATCCCCATTTGCGTGCAACAACATAGGAAATGTTTGCAGCAGTCGGACACTGAAGCAGTCTCAACTAATGTACTGCTTGCTCTTGCTCTCATTAGTGGCTCAGGAAAGATGAAAGGAGGCAAGATTGCTCCAGAAAATGCGTTCTCACTGCAGCTCCAGATTCAGTGCTCCCCAGAATGTCTCAGCTATGTGTCAGGACAGAAAACACAGGCATCCTAATGCTGTTCTGTGAAACCATGAGTAACTTCCATGCTCTGAGCACTTACAGGATGAAGGAGGAAGGAACCCCTGGCAGAGCGAAGAGCTCAGATGAAGAGGAAACTTTCTGCTTCCCCTCTCCACATCCGTACCAGCAAGATGCTGATATTCTGGGACAGATTGTCAGACCCTGCGAGGGAGGCATCAGGGAAACACTGCCCACTTCTACTGAGGGTCTGACTTCTCCAGAGAGAACAGATTAGTCATTAGCCCTGTAATGTTAATACAGACTACCCAAAGTTTTTCCTACATTCATTATGCATGTTGGGGACTGTTTCAGTTCCTCTTCGAGTTGCCTCCTGTCCTAAGAACACAACACCTAAATGATAAAATGGAAAATCTAAAAGTGATTTAGAATAATTAAAGCAAAACTGGCATGTAGGAGGGCACACTGGAAAAGAAAATAAGTAGTCCCTGCATTCCAGGTGCTGCCGTGCACACAGCATGTGGTGATCAACAGGCAAAGCGGGTACAATGCTATTCACATAGCAGAGCTGTGCTCCTAGCCAGCTCTGTGTGTGTGTGTTTGTGTGTGTGTGTGTGGCTGCTCTCTTGTCTGTAGGTTCACACTTGGAGCCCTGGGTTTTGTGCTCCCAGTGGGACTAGAGCTGGATGCCTTTCTGTGATAGAGCATGGCACAGTGGGAGCTTTATTGACAGCTTCACAACCGTTTCTAAAATGATGTATTTTCATCGACATCACTATCAGGGTACCTTCAGTTATACAGTTCAAAATGGTATTAGGCACTCAAGGTGAAATAGCAGGTGTTATGTGTGCTGGGGGAAGTGTCTGGCAGCTTGGAGAGGCAGGGGCTGAATGTGTTACCTGACTGTTTGTGTGCAAGTGATCATCAGCAAAACCTCCTAATTTGTTAGATATGGGTATCTGCATTGTGTTCCCAGATTTTAGAGTTAATGTCTCGGTTCCTGGGTCTTCAGACTGTAAGTTCACGTTGTTTCATATCAAGTTGTGTGGTGCATATCCAAAATGCTGCTTTAGCCTCAGGTGTGTTGAGATGGTTTTCTGCAGTGTAATGGGGGAGAAACTTGGAGGAGTCAGTGTGCAGTCTGAAGCAAAACAGCATTAAATTCACATTTGTGTCAAGCCCTACAACCATCCTATCCCTTATGAAAGGTGGAGAGACTGTTTAACTCCCTAGAGGTGGATGAGTAAAGCAAACCAAGAAAAACCGAAGACGGCGCCTCGGGATCTGTTTGCACTAGCAGAATGACTAAGCTGCTGGCAGTCCCTGTCAGCGAAGCTGGGCAGTGTGAACGCGTTAGCTGGTGGCTCCTGATGGGCTGAAGCCGGTCGCCCTGCAGCGCGGGGCAGACGCCTCTCGCGCTCTCCATCTCGTGCTCTGCCAGCAAAGGAGCTGCCTGAGCCCGGAGCGCTGGTGGCTGCAGGGCCCTTTTAAGTAGAGGTGAATTCTAGGGCTTGATCAAAGACTACTCAGTAAAGAAGCCTTTTTGTTGTTATTTTCTTATGGGGAAAATAATGGTCTCGGGAGATGATGTCTCGGAAAAGGTACTGGTTTAGGCTTCCCAAGGAAAATCAAGCTGATAAGCTCAAGTTATTTTAGCAAAGAAATTACAAAAAAAAAAGGGGCGGGGGAGGAAAGGCCATTCTTAGACAATTTGCTGACTTAGAAACCAAATGCCTTTAGTTTTACAGTTTAGTGCTTTTGTTTAGCTTTTCTTTTGATGTAGATCAGCTTTTAGATGCAAATACACATCAGTTAAAAAAAAAAAAAAAAAAGTAGCTATATTGGTCAGATGTGAAAACAGACATGGTCTCTGATGAGCACAGCTCTCCTTGCAAGAGCCCCGTCCACACGGTTATATATGGTTATATATCATTGCCTTCAGGTGAGGTGTTTTGATCAGAGTGCACTAGAGATAGGCTGTGACAGCAAATTTGCAGCCTCATTAGTCTGAGCTGTACATGTACAAAATGCTGCTTCTGCTATGTCCTAAAGTCTGTCAGCATCATGGAGAAAGGGCCTGGCAGAAATGTAGCCCTAGAGCTCAGTTATTGGGCCCCAAACTCTCAGCTGCAGTTGTGCAGAGAAAAGAAATGGGCCAGATCCTCAGCTGAGGATAAATTAAGAAAGTTTTGCTGTCATTGCTGAGAATTTGGCCTAATCTCATGACTGTGTTTGTCCCCTGCTGCACCTTAAAATAAGGGCAGCTTTTGTTTGACTGAGCAGGACTGTGTTCTGGCTAGAACAATTCCTGTTGTAGTTCTCTCTGCTCAAGATGGAAGTTTACTTGCCATCAGCTCTGATGGAGGTTCCTGCAGTTTGGAGAACCATGGGATTCGCCCTCAACTGACAGAGTTGCAGTAACTTGGGGATGGTGGACACAGCCTGAGACAGGAGCTGGACATAATCTAGGCCAAGATTCTTACTGTGGAGGCCAAGATGCCTTCTCAGGCAGACGTATTAACAATGGGAGCTGAACCAAAATCTTTGCTCCTGACCATTCACAGCATCTAGATCTCCTCTCTTGGAGCTTTTCCTCTACGATGGCTGCTACTTCAGTGTCCCAGTCTCCTTGCCCACATGGAAGCACTGAGGTCTGGATTCCCATGCTCTGCCTCATGATGCATGCTTTTCTCCCATTAAAAACTGAGAACTGTGATTATGTAAAACTTGCACTAATAAAAATCTGGGTTTACTGCCTGCGCACTTAAAATAAGGCTAGGAAAGAAGATTTGTAAAGCCTCAGAAACCAGAAGATAATAATTGAAAATTCCTGTAGACTTGAAGCCAGTCTCATGATTTTGGGGACCTGATTCAAGATTTGTGTGTGCTCGGGGATGCAATGGTTCAGAAGCCAGATTCTGTGCAGAGGTACTTGACAAACTTGAGTTCATTACTTTAGAAACATATTTAAAAATGGAACAAGCTAAAAATGCCTCTGAAAACTTTTTGGACTTTGCAGTGTGTTTTAATCCTTTGTATTAAAGAATCTTTCAACACATCCTCTTCAGCTTCCGACAGCCTGATGAGTAGAATAAAGAAATAGAGATGAGTAGAATAAAGAAATAGAGATGCATTAGAGAAATGGTGCTATTTTCCTTTTATTTCTCTCGCTCTTTCATCTTCTCTTACAGTTGAAGACAGAAGGAAGTAGGCCAAATTCTCTAGTGTTCGTGCAGGGAAATTCCTCTCAACTTCAGTGGGAGACTTGGCGCAGTGAGGAATGCAGGGGACAGACCAGAGGTTGTGTTCTGATTCTTTTAGGAA